ATACCTTCCAAGCCTCTCTTTGGACCATTGTTTAGGTTGAATGGCCTTGATTGAAAATTTATATCCTTTAATTAGAGTTCTGTTCCTATGTGAATCAGGGTAAATAACATTTCTAAAGACATGATACAATAGCTTTATCAAACTTTAATTTATTTTCAATCTGTATGTTTTCTATTTATTCACTGTTTTAAGGAAAAGTTTTTTATGTCACAAAATATTTTGACTGATAAACTGATAAATACAACAAGCCCGAAGTTACAAAATAACCCATCCCCATATTGTAAGAATTATAACTATGCATATTCCCATTTCTAAACCCCCTAAAGATAGGCCAAGGGAACTAAGTATCTTAATATAGGCTACCATGTGTACGGATGTTTGACCAATGACCTTGAATAACACGGACCGAATAAAGTTGAATTTCAAACCTATTTTTAGATTAGCTCATTTTGTTTAAATAATATTTCACTAAGTACGTTTTTCCTCATTCAAAATATACTGATGAAGTTGGTTATTATTACCATACTTGTGTATCTTGTACCATGTGCCAGTGTTTAAAGTATGGACGGGAGGCAAATCCATCTGTTTCAATCCAATGAAATATTTGCCATCGAGCAATATCAATGTTGATAAGATAATCCATGTTAATTCTTTGACAGAAACTTAACTTTAAAAACTGGAAATTATTAAAAAATATTTCATAATACAGAAAAATAAATCGGATACTTTCATCACCCACCTTTCACTTTCATTGATGCATAGAAAAGGGGAGATAACCCGTAAACCTAGTAACTACGTACTGACACTGCATGGATGGATAAATAAATTCCGGCTTATCTCATTTATTAATTTTTCACAAAAAGGAGGTGAATGATGACATATAATCAAAGGATATATAGAGCTTAGATAACGACGCATATTATGAGATGAACTCAAATATGCGGTATAATATTAAAATGACCAAAATTGTTACTATGAACACGTTTCTTTGGGGTTCATTATCTGGGTATTATTATTTTTTTAAACCAATTCAGCTAATTTTATTGGTAATTTTTTAATAATGAAAAATTCTTTATTTTCATCTGTCAAAATGACAAAGCCTGAAAAGGAAAAACGTGAGAGCATCGACGGAAACTAACTTAAAGATATGAAATAATGATCATATGCAAAGATGCAAATAGTGTTAAAACGAGACCGAAGAGTTGAAAAAATATTTATACTAAGTATTTATTTATTTAGAAAAAAAAACTTTAATAGCAAAGGAAAATAAGGAAGTTTTTAAAAAAACCCAAATAATCACCAACTATTATAGTAGACATTTTGTTACTGAGAATATCAAGAACAATAGTCATTGAACATTATAATTGTTTTTTTTTTAATCTTGTTTGGCATTCCGTAAGGTTGATCAAGGATTGCATACCAAACATTGGTTTTTTTGCTATTTTTAAACAAAATTATTGATAGAAATTGAGCAGCAAACTTAATTGTGAAACCTAATTGTCGCAGTCTCGATCAAATTCATTTCACACTTTATTTTGTATTTGTAAAATATTTCATAAAGAGAATAATGCACGATTATTACATACTTAGTCTTAAAACAGAACCCAAATCAGTTCAGCTAGAGAAAACTACAATTGAATACGCATATATTGACTACTAACATTATAGCTTATTATCCCACAGGCTAGATATAACAAATCAAGGACACTTAAAATTAAGTAATTCACGTATGAACCCTTTTCTCGGAATTTAAGGCTTTTATCTATTAAAAAACCGACGATTGGGACACTAGACCTCAGTTTTAAGGTCTCATTCCGAACACAAGTGACCAGTCGGAACACAAAAGGCTCTCACATATTCAATACAGTAATCTGGAGGGGGAAGAATTCTTATTTGATACAGGATTGTCGACCATCGGTGCTTACATACGACCTTCCTTCCACAGAGCGAGCATTCCACTGATTTAATGAGCCGATTAATTCCCAATCTGTAAGGTGAATTCTTTTATATGAATGTGTTTATCTGAATTACTTTTGAATATAAATATAATCACTCTTTCTTGTGAAGTTTTATGTAAGGGTATTTTTTTTTCAGGAAGATTTGCAAATAACTAATTACTTGACCACGTTCTCTTATATTTACGTTTAAGTTTTAAAAAGAAAGGCTTTTACTTACTGGAGTCAAATCAATCCATACCAAACAACACGAACACTTTTTATTCTGAATAAATTTACATCCTCTGAACTATACAGGCATAGCGACCTGACTTCAGTAAGAACATAATTGTGATTAAAAAGAAGCCTCAGATAAAGATTCTTGTTTCTCTTTCTTTAAAATCTAATCTAAAAAAGATAAAGTAACCAATACATTACTCTAAAATCATTCTGTTCCAAAAGACTTTGAATTTTACAACTTGATTTTTAATTCCTATGAATAATGACTGATGCAGAGAATTGGAAATGTTTCATTGCCAATCTCTTTTTTTTTTTACAAATTCTACGAGAGGCAACATCAAAATTATTTTGTCGTCGAGGAACATAAAGCAATAAGAATTGAAATTGTTAGGTCAATATGTTTATAATTTGTCAAATTATCATTAAATAAAGATGATATTATATGTATAACTGCCTGGCGTTGTCGCAGTTAAGTTTCATGACGTCCTGCATTATCATCATTTCTAAATGCCCGCTCCTTGCAGGTTAAGGTAAAAATTGACACTTTGGGGGAACGATTGTAAAATATCACTTGACGTAATAAACGAGATTTTCAGCTGCATTTTTTTCCGGTCACATTTAGGTAGAAAATCCATTATTTTCTGGTTGAGTCGAATGGACATACCATTGCTTACAAAAAAAAAATCATTAATAAATTAAACTTCTGATTAGAAGTTAATTCGAAGAAAAGAAAGGAATGTGGTTTTTACTTGTTATAAAAATCAGCAATGTGCCTCAATGATTTTTAATTTATTGCGCTAGTCTGCGCTCCTCTTGATAACCCAGCGTACACAGAAGATACATGCTACTATATCAGATAGAAGGTTATATGAATCACTGCTCCTAATCAATTTCTGAATTTAATTAATTGCAAATAACTTTGACAGGAATAATTTAAACGAAATCCTTAACATTTCATTTAGTTACTTAACCATCTATTTATTGAAATCTAAATGGAGAAAAGGGAATAAATGTCTTCAATCACTTGCTAAAACTATCCTGTTCATCGAAGTACACTAGGTTTTAATCTTCATTGGTTGTTCGGGCAGAATATCTACATGTACATTTTAGGGTTTGCTCCTCATCAGTACTTATCCATGTGTATACAAATTTCAATTGTTTTTATTATCTTAACGAAGTAAACCAGTTTTGATGAAGATTTGATTGTTTGTATCATTCTGTACGCCCTACACTAGAATATTTCACTGATATAGAGACGTTTAGATATACCACTGAGGGGATTTAGAATTAGTTCTTTAATCGGCAGTTAGAAACGTTTAGCAATCGGATACATTTATCTTTATTATTCGGATGCTGAAGTAACGCTCAGCCCTCTTTTTATTTGCTTTTTTTTAAATATATATTTTCTTACCAATTTTTATCGAGAATTTTTTTTTTCAAATTGAGTTCCACTATGCTCAATAGAGAGTATGCATATCAGGAGTGTAAAGTAATGTTTATAGACTTTGAGATCCACATATACATGTTCATGTCAGTGCATTTCATTTATAGGTAGAATGTAGTAATGCAAATACATGTAAATACATCTAGTAAAGCAGCCCAATATCCTAATCAACTGTTAATTTTCTTCTACTTCAATGAAATAGACCATAGAAATATAATAAATAACTTTGTCTGTTCTCACCAGGATATATGAACACTGTAGCTTTTTTTTTCTTTTTTATCTGATGCTTATTAGTGGGAAAAACCATGGGATTATGATACAATGACATTATTTCGAATCTCCTATATGCAAAGAAGCGGATCAAATTTTGAGAATACTTCTGGGCGGTGAAAAGTAACAGTGAAGATATATATAGCTTTTGTCATTCCTCTTTTTTTAAAATCCATGAGGCATTTAAATAGCTATATACACATAACCTCAGTCAAATGTTTGAACTATTAGAATAAACACTTCCTGGTTTCATGTAACGAATCGCATATTTAACAAAATGCATGGTGTCACTGGAGGACTGTTTTATAGTGTTGGGGAATTATTTGTAACAGTAACAATTATTTTTGCTTATGGTAAGATTAAATTGTAAATGATTTCTCTCTCCCTGACTTTTCAATGTCTAAATTTTTATAAATACGCTTTAACTCCTTATGATCAATGTTTAATGTCTTAGTCATATTTCCCGGCTGGTGGCCGTAGACCGGTGGTAATCAGTGGTAATCCATGGTGTGAGTGATGCCCAAACAACGGTCCACATCGGCCTAGTAGTCCTTAAACCCTTACATTCACTCACATTATCCAGCGGAAAGTCCGAAGTTGAAGCTTATTAAATAAAAAAAAAAAAAAAAAAAACCAGATAATCTGATCGTTTTGTGGTTAGTTTAAAGAACGAAAATTTACCCAGTTGAATATTGATACCAACATCGGAGCTTCGAGTTTTCTTACGGGAACTATCTGTGTCTGATCATAAACATTTTTGTTTCAAAATTAAGCTGGAGACAAATATAAGCATACCTTGTTGACCCGTCACATCTATAGAAATGTTCCTTGAAAAACTTGATTAACTTTAAAAATCCTTAGTCCAGATAATATTTTTTTTCTTTTTGACAGTTATCTTATATTTTTACTTACAGAAAATATTGCATTAAACAAGCCTGCGTGGCAGCAGTATCCGTATACTAATCCAGATTGGGGAGCAGATAAGGCTGTGGATGGGAGGTTCACAGACCGGAGAGCTGTAGGAGGACAATGTACGATATGTGCAGATGGTTTTTACACTGCCACCTGGTGGGTGGATCTAAGAAGAGTACTCAGCATTCATCATATCAATATCTTCTACAGGACGGACAATGTAGTGTTTGGTATTGTTTAAACAAGAGCATATGCATGAATTTAACATATATAGTTTATGTGTTTCAAATGCTTACATGTATTTAGATACATTTGTACTGAAAGTTCAGTATACGTAAATTAGTATTTATTTTGGGTAATAAAGTATCAATAAGCCAAGTCGGTATTATTACTGCCCTGACTTCATGTATTTTCTTTTTGCGTAAAACGCTATATAACATGTATAATGAAATGTTTCTAGCAAGCCAGTTTTCATTCTGGCATTTCCTACCAAATTCTATATTATTTCTAACAAGAAATAATTAAGTTAAGGTCAAGATCTTGTAAATAACTTGAGACTATTTTTTTTAGTGCTAGACCCATAATGATGTCATAATCAATTTCAACTTTCTTTTTCCTGTACTTTACGGCTTTAGCAGAATTATGTAGAAAATAGGGTATTTTCATCTCATTCAATTTGAAATCATATGAAAAGTAAACCGGATACCTAATATATTAAATTTGATATTGATTTAAAGAAGAGGCCATGAGCATACTATTTGCCGTTTTCTGAGAGACTGTAGGCAATCTGGATACATTTCCTTTACCGAATACGAAAAAAACTCCCATATTCAAGACTGGTTTTCTTAATTTTTCATTGAAAATGACAGTTTAAAATACAGTTTTTCATCTTGTTTACCTTCAAATTAAGCCCCGAAACACCTTATTCGACCAAGCTAAAGTTGTAAAGCATCAATAAAGGAATTTATTTCTCAAGTTTGATAAATCTGTAGGCACCTTTCATTTACTAGATCTTGACCTTAATTATAAATCATAGTTAATTATAGTTAACAATGATTAATATCTAATTAAATTTTACTATAGTGTCAAAGTTATTACTATATTAAATCAAAGTCGTATATTAATTGATATATCAAATAATTTCAGTACCTGGATATTTACACATTTTTACAAAATTTTACATCATTGTTACGTTACAAAAGGAAATTTTCAAATTTAAGAACTCGAAGAAAAAAAATCAAAATAAACTAGTGCTAATTGTAACGGGAACCGTTACAGATGTTCCCCAAACGCTCCCCAACTCCCTTTTAGTGCCATATTCCCTGTAATATACTATATATGAAAGCATTCAGTCCAAAAGTATTAAAAATCACTCATTCAAGTGTATTCGTTCGTTCCAAATGCACACACGTGCGTGCACGTGCATGATGACCATACCTTCTTGTAGGAGTTCCTTATATGTATCTATGTTCTGAATCCCATCCTGTTTGGTTGAAAAACAAGGAAGTGATAGCCATTTCAAGTTTCAGCCAATCAGATTGCAGCACACGTGCATGCGCGTGATTTCATGACTTTTTTTCTATATCGCATCGTAGGATATCCTAATGAATCACTATGTTCTAAATTTCAGAGCATTTCGTCAAAAAACAAAGGAGATATAGTCATTTAAAGTTTCAGCCAATCAGATCGCAGCACACGTGTATGCGCGTAATTTCTTGAATTTTTTTGAATATCATATTGCAGGACATCCTAATGTATGACTATGTTTTAAATTTCAAAGCATTTCGTCAAAAAACAAAGGCGAAATAGTCATTTAAATTGTCAGCCAATCAGATTGCAGCACACGTGCATGCGCGTGATTTCATGAAATTTTTTCTATATCATATTGTAGGATATCATAATTCATGACTATGTTTTAAATTTCAAAGCATTTCGTCAAAAAACAGAGAAGATACTGAGATTTTTGTTTTAGCCAATCAGAGCGAAGCGCACGTGCATGCGCGTGAGTTCCTGCTAATTTGACAGTGTCACATTATCTACACTATTAATATATCTTTATATAATGAGTTTCAAATCATTTCATTAAAAAATGTAAAAGTTATAGCTATATTAAGTAGATTAGTCATTTCACGTGCTGCCCGCGCACGCACGTGCAGGCGTATGCGCGCAAAATGACCTTCGTTCCGCACACCTACACTACACACCCATTAACCCTAAAAAGGTTTTAGCTCGGTTGGGTGAACAGTTTCTGAGAACACTTCCGGACAAAAAAGTACCGGAGAACAAATAAGAAAAAAAAGAATAACTAGTGCTAATTGTAACGGGAACCGTTACAGATGTTCCCCAAACGCTCCCCAACTCCCTTTTGGTGCCATATTCCCTGTAAGCCTTATTAAATAAGACAACATCTTTGCATTTTTGACTTTAACAACGTTTTCCCAAAAGGATACCAATTATATTCAAATTTTAACATTGCACGCGTGCCCATGTGAATGCACGTGCATAATGATCAAATAATCTTGTCTACACTTTCTATATATTAAAATATACTTTATATAAAAGCATTTAGTCCAAAAGTATTAAAAATCACTCATTCAAGTGTTTTTTTTCAATTTCACTCGTTCCAAATGCACGCACGTGCGTGCACCTGCATGATGACCATACCTTCTTGTAGGAGGCACTTATATATATCTATGTTCTAAATCCCATCCTGTTTTGTTGAAAACCAAGGGAATTATAGCCATTTCAAGTTTCAGCCAATCAGATTGCAGCACACGTGCATCCACGTGATTTCAAGAATTTTTTTCTAAATCATATTGTAGAATATCCTAATGCATAACTATCTTTTAAATTTCAAAGCAATTCGTCAAAAATCAAAAGAGATATGGCCATTTAAAGTTTCAGCCAATCAGATTGCAGCACACGTGCATGCGCGTGATTTCTTGAAATTTTTTGTATATCATATTGCAGGATATCCTAATACATGACTATGTTTTAAATTTCAAAGCATTTCGTCAAAAAATAAAGGAGATGAAGCCATTTAAAGTTTCAGTCAATCAGAATGAGGCGCACGTGCATGCGCGTGATTTTATGAATTTTTTTCCATATTATATTGTAGGATATCCTAATTCATGACAATGTTAAAAATTTCAAAGAATTTCATCGGAAAACAAAAGAGATATTGAGATTTTTGTTTCAGCCAATCAGAAGAAGGCGCACGTGCATGCGCGTGAGTTCATGCTAATTCGACAGTGTCATATTATTAACACTTTCAATATATCCTTATGTAATGAGTTTCAAAGCATTTCATCAAAAAATGTAAAAGTTATAGCTATATTAAGTATATCAGTCAATTCACTCATTTCACGCGCACGCACGTGCAGGCGTATGCGCGCAAAATGACCTTCGTTCCGCACACCTACACTACACACCTATTAACCCTAAAAAGGTTTTAGCTCAGTTGGGTGAACAGTTTCTGAGAACACTCGCGGACAAAAAAGTACCGGAGAACAAATAAGAAAAAAATAATAATAACTAGTGCTAATTGTAACGGGCACCGTTACAGATGTTCCCCAAACGCTCCCCAGCTCCCTTTTGGTGCCGTATTCCCTGTAAGCTTCATTAAATAAGACAAATTCTGTGCATTTTTGACTTTAACAACGTTTTCCCAGAAGGATACCAATTATATTCAAATTTTAGTGTTGAACCCGTGCACATGTGAATGCATGTGCTTTATAACCATATCATCTTATCTACACTATCTATATATATTTTAATATACTATATATTAAAGCATTCAGTCCAAAATTATTTAAAAAAAACATTCATTCAAGTGTATTTTTAATTTCACTCGTTCAAATGCACGCACGTGCTTGCACGTGCATAATGACCATACCTTCTTGTAGGAGTCCCTGATATTTATCTATGTTCTAAATATCATCATGTTTGGTTGGAAAAAAGGGAGTAATTGCAATTTCAAGTTTAAGCCAATCAGATTGCAGCAAACGTGCATGCGCGTGATTTCATGAATTTTATTCTATATCGTACCGGAGAATATCCTTATGAATGACTATGTTTTAAATTCCAAACCATTTCCTCAAAAAACAAAGGAGATATAGCCATTTTAAGTTTCAGCCAATCAGATTGCAGCACACGTGCATGCGCGTGTTTTCTTGAATTCTTTTGTATATCATATTGCAGGACATCCTAATGTATAACTATATTTTAAATTTCAAAGCATTTCGTCAAAAAACAAAAGAAATATAGTCATTTTAAGTTTCAGCCAATCAAATTGCAGCACACGTGCATGTGCGTGATTTCATGAATTTTTTGGTATATCATATTGCAGGACATCCTAATGTATTACTATATTTTAAATTTCAAATCATTTCGTCAAAAAACAAAGGAGATATATTCATTTTAAGTTTCAGCCAATCAGATTGCAGCACACGTGCATGCGCGTGATTTCATAAAACATTTTCTATATCATATTGTAAGATATCATAATTAATGACTATGTTTAAAATTTGAAAGCATTTCGTCAAAAAACAACAGAGAAATTACGATTTTTGTTTCAGCCAATCAGAGCAAAGCTCACGTGCATGCGCGTGAGTTCGCACTAATTTGACAATGTCACGATATTGACACTATTAATATATCTTTATGTAATGAGTTTCAAAGCATTTCATCAAAAAATGTAAAAGTTATAGCTATATAAAGTATATCAGTCACTTCACTCACTTCACGCGCACGCACGTGCAGGCGTATGCGCGCAAAATGACCTTCGTTCCGCACACCTACACTACACACCTATTAACCCTAAAAATGTTTTAGCTCAGTTGGGTGAACAGTTTCTGAGAACACTCGCGGACAAAAAAAGTCCGGAGAAGAAATAAGAAGAAAAAAGAATAATAATAAGAAACAGAGTAAAAACAATATGTTCCCCAACTTCGTTTGGGGAACATAATAATAAGAAACAGAGTAAAAACAATATGTTCCCAAACTCCGTTTGGGGAACATAATACATGTAACTAGATACGATCTCGTTGCGAGCAACGAGAGGTCTTCCGTCCGTTTTAGGAAAAGAAACCCACGTAAAATCGAGCTGAAAAGAGATTCAAAATTTTGGTCACAAGGAGGAATGAAACCATGTCGCCAACGTGAATGCGTTTTTTTTTTTCACTTTTATATCCCCAACGCGCTAACCATTAAGCTATTGGGAGTACTGCTCTAAATATACTGGTGTATACCACGGTACTTTTGCAACAGTTCACCTGTCTAAGAATTATAAAAAGCATTCATAATTTCGCGCCAAACGCCACGAGTAAATATTTGCGCCTTTTCTTTGGACTGATCTATTAGATAGGTATGATAGCATCAATTAAATTTAAAAATAAAACATTCTTAGCGCCTTTATTTTATTTTGACGTTAAGAAAGTATATGTAACACATTATACACATTACATATCGTATCTAGCTCAGTTACACTAAGGCAGTGAAACGGAAATTAAGTTTTAAGATTGACACTCAATTGCAACGTTACTACTGTAACGTGTCGGATCTGAGCGGTCAGTAAGTCCGTGCTCGGATTACCGAGTTTTACTGGGGATATGATTGAATGCAATATATACAGATAATAATATGACACCTGCCTGGTGTCTTTAAATCAAATGACCGAAGTGCTTTGTATAATTATATATCTTCAGTTAATACCGGCACCTGCCTGGTGCCAAATGATAATTGCCTCACTATACTCGTACAACTGACTGTATAAGTCAACATCAGATCTATCTGCCTGGTGAATCTTGATTTAGCCTTTAACATCTGCCTGGTGTATAACTGCTTACCAAGTTGCCTATATAACTCTAGCCAAGTGGCTACAATATACTTACACAGTATGATTTAACTTTGTATGAGCTTCTCTGTCCTAATGACAAACCTATAGCTAATGTCACACAGCTACATTTTAACTAGTCACTGCCTACGGCAACTTTGCACAATCCTACTTGATCGATAAACCAATTGGTTTCTGTACCAAAGTTAAGACACAAGCCAGTTGGCTGTACTGCCCCCTTGTACCTCAACTTAATCAATGATCATAAGTTATCAGATATCATATTGATAAAATAAAACAGACTGTCTTTGTTTTGGCAACACT